CACTGAAAGGGTGTTACGGTCTGTTCTACACCTTCGAGCCTCCCTCCGACCACCCTACTTACGATGTATGTTTTTTTCTCAATTTCACTTTTAATAATTTAAATTTATTTTTTATTAAATAATATATATAATAACATACAAATACAGGAATCCATGGCAGAAATAGAGGTGAGAGCAGCTCATAATGTACTGGAGGCATGTGCGCAGACAGATACCATTGAAAAAGTCGTCTTCACGTCGTCAGTGACGGCCGTCATCTGGAACGACAACCTTCGTACGACGTCGTCCCATCTTGACGAGAGAAGCTGGTCTGACGTCAACACTTGTAAGAAGTTCAAGGTACATTTTTTATTTTTCATTTTTCAGTTTTTTTGTTTACTGTTAAGCTAAATTGTATTAAATTAATATATTTATGAAATGTGGCAGTTATGGCATGGTCTGTCAAAGACGTTGGCAGAGAAGACGGCGTGGGCGTTGGCGATGGACAGAGGGATCAACATGGTGTCTATTAACGGAGGGCTGTTAATGAGTCCAGATCTTACGGTCAGGAATCCGTATTTGAAAGGATCGGCTGAGATGTATGGAGATGGAGTATTTGTTACGGTGAATCTCAGCTTCATGGTGGACGCTCACATTTGCATCTTTGAAGAAATCTCAGCCTTTGGAAGATATCTATGCTTTGACCACATCATTAATTCTCACCATCATGCCATTCACCTCATCAATATGCTCTTACCCCCATCTGATTCTCAACCTCCCCAAAATCAAAGGTCTCTTCTTCTCTCCTTCAATATATACACACACACACATACACATACACATATATGAAGCATTTTACTAAATTCTATTGTAATTGGCAGTTTGGAGGAGACAGAAGTGTATCAACAGAGAATAAGCTGCAAGAAACTTAACGAGTTAATGCTGCATTTCAGGACCTCCACTCATCTATAGCATGATCAAGCTACAACTTCACCCTTCATTTTTTCTAAACCTCATCCAAAACTATTCTATATTATACATGACTATATAATATTGGAATATTGAAAATAAGAATATGCATCCATCAAATTTCTTCTACTTTTTCTTACTGTAAATTCTGTTATAATAAAATAAAATTTAACAGTAAAAAACTCTGTTCGCAACGCTATGAAACTATGAACCGGTCTAGTTCAACCTCTGTTTCCCAAATGTGAATTCTCCTCATCTATTGAGGTTTCTACTTATGTGATGAGATGCATATATAAATCCACTATCCATGAAGACAATTGGCAATTGGCATATACTTGCTCCATAATAATAAGACATTACCTTTTAACCTTGAAGCATATATATGTACTCGAGCCAATCTCAGGAGCGAATTCTATGAACCCTAAAAAAGAAAGTACTTGCATATAACATCCATGGGTATCAACCATAGCTACCACTTCAGTATTCTTGAACTACTATTCAAAATTGTAATGGAACATTTTGCCAGATTCAATCAGGCTTCTACAATACTCGTACACAAATGTGACTTTACAAGCGAAATAAGTACGAAAATAATCTTATGCAATTGTACAATGAAGCATCAACATTTCCTTTAGCTACTGAACAAGAATAATATCTACTAACCATCAAAAGATATAATCCAGATTCAAACCACTGGATGGCATCTCGTAGCCAAGTTAAGAATTCAAGAGTAGACCAACCTAACCCAGCAACTGAAGCGAGATTTCAGGGGCATGAGGATGCAGAATTTTGTACACTAATCAAGTTACAGGATAGCTAATTACCTGCCAGCCTCAATGAAGATCACATCAAATCAATGTATGTCCACCATCATCTGTATAGCACCCTAATCACAAAAGCAAACCAAACCCAGAGTGCCAAGGATGACAAGAGCTCAGGCCACAACCAAACATTCATAAGTCAACTGTTTTCATTTACCTATTCAGAATTCTGTAGCAAAAACAGTGTAATAAGAATTTCAATATCAACCACACTCTGTGATCTCTATAATATAATACTAAACTCCCATTTGGTTCGTTTCTCTTTAGATTCCTATCTAATTCATATTTTCATTTTTCATACTAGTAATGATACTAAGAATTACATCACAACTTCTTTTCATATTTAACCTTCCACCCCTAAGGAATTCAATGTCAGGTGGAGAAAGCTCGAAACATATAATTGATATTGTAATTATGCACATAGATTAAATAAGAAAAAATGATGACCTGAATGCAATGGACAGTAAGTGCATTCCCTTAATTTATGTTCTATGATTCTCTGATGACAATGCAAAACACCATGCAAATGCCAAGTTCTTGAAACTTTCTCATGCTATCTACAAATCGCAAACCAAAAGTGCAGTCTCAAGAGGATTAGTGAAGGCCAAGCTAAAGCACAGTTGCTGCTACTTTGAGACAAGCATATATTCTTAACATATTCGGTCGGCCAAAAAAAATAATAATAACCTCTTTGGACTTTAAGTGATCAACTTTAATTTTTGAACTTACTAAAAAGAAATCAGGTATTGCAGGTTTTCAAATGGCTCCAAAAGAAAACAAAAAAGAATAATCCAAAATCAAATGCAACGTATAAAGCTGGATTACATTTGCTGTTGTTATATATCACAGTATTAAAAAAGCCAAGAACTGTACTTCTCATTGACAATCTAATACAGTTAAGAATAACTGTTCCTTTAAGTAACTTATGGTAACAAAATTTACAGGAAATAAATTTACTGGAAATAGATGTGAGCTTAAGCACTCAATGACAAAGAGATAATGGAAGACAGCTCGAACTTCCGGATTTTGTTGGAATTCTCAAGTTGAAATAGAACCTCAGTACTTGATCTCACAGTCACTTCCTTCCACTCAGAAGCCGATGCCCCTTTACTTCGATAATCACGAGGACTATACAAAACTTGAAGCTTTGAATGGGCTGGAAATGGCCATGGGAATTCAGAGTGGGAAGAGAAGGTTATAGAAATTTGACCATATAGCTCAATAAGTAAATGCTGCATATGCTCTACCAGTTGTGCTCATCTCCCATGCTACTTAACTAGTCAATAAATGTATGCAGCTTGCTAAAGAGCAGAATAATAAGTTCCAAACAGTATAAAATTTGGATGTGGATTACATATAAATGGATAGAAAAATATATCCATGGGAACCTTCAACCTCAGTTGTTAACTTGATGTTTTAATTGGTGCATAAAAACACTCTGTAAACAATTATCTTTAAATTATCCTTTAAATAGATTATACTGTTCAATCTTCTAATTTATGAGTTCTTAAAATTTGAAATAAGATATGTAAAAGCCAAGCTTCAAATCTTACTTCTGCACAAAAAGCCAGGAAAAATTTTCCAAAGAATCAATTTTTGTAGCCAGAAAACTTTTGCAGTCTTATTTCCATGTTGTCAGTGGTAGAACACCAAACATAAGCTTCCAGCTCTTTCTGTCTTACAAGATGCAAGCAAAAACGAAAACAAAAGAACAAAAGTCTCGCAAAAACGAAAACAAAAGAACAAAAGTCTCATTTGAAATTACCTAATCCAAACATGCTCGTCTTTTGGATGATCAGATGACTAACTTTTGATCTTTTGATGCTTCTCAAAGCATGGGTATCTTCTTGCTTTCCTTTGAATTCAAGAAATTCTCCAAGCACATATTTGTTACCTTTAAGCTCCAACCTGTGCATGACAAAAGCAAACTCAACGTTTTCACAAGTATCAATTATCTAATGAAAGACAGAAAGTGAAGAAAAAACAGTGAAGATACATAATTGTTAGACGCACAAAACCCTGTAGGTACAATGAAACTAAAAAAATTTGAAATTGTTGTTTCATGATCCTTAAGTTGAATTTTTATAGTGGTAGCTTAGGTTCCTCCATGTGCTGAACTTTTAAAATTATGTAACTTTTAAGAAAGAAAGAAAGAAAAAAGAAAAAAGAGACATACTTATGATACTTAAATGACCGATCTAAGAATAAACCATAAAATCCACAGCTATCGAATCAGATCTTTGAATGAAGAAGAGACATTTACCAAAACCCAAGGAACGCACTTAATATAGCAAAGGAAGAAGAAAGCCACGAACAGTGGTTCTATTTGTTTTGGCTGAACTTCCACAGCCTTTTACCTTTTCTTCTGAAACTGTGTTTAACTGTAGCATCACTCATGGTTTTTTTTTTTTTTTTTTTTTTTGGGCTTATTAATATTATAAAAAAATTTAAGTATAATACTAACAAAAAATATGAAAAAATTAATTTTCATTTCAACCAATAGTTTAACTTAATTCAAGTACAGAAGTTGTGCTGTATGGTTGAGTCGGTGCTTAAGTCTGGTAAAAGCAGGGTAAAGCAGTTCCAAAAAGCTAAATCAAGTGGTTCTCTTTTCTCATAGTTGATCTCCCTTCTAGTTGTGTCCCAGAGAAACAAAGAAAGCTGAAACAGACAGACCCAGACTATGTTTTGAATTAAATCAGAAGCAGTGGCATATTCATCGGCCTCCAGAACTGAACAACAGCCCTGCTTCCATTGGTGAATAGTGAACTAGTGAAATCCAGCCCAAGCAATTTAAGTGGCAGTTATAGACTATCGAATTTAAGTAACCAAGAGGTTAATATATTATTAAACAATGGAAGAAACAAAATTAAGTGGCACAATAAATAGCAAACCTATCCCATATGGGAGCTGTGCCAAGGATGAAATTAAGTTTCTCCAGGGTAGATTCCTGCATCTCTTTCTTTCCACCACGAAAAGCACCCTTGATCCAACCAGTAAGTATATTTTTCTGTTCTGGTTTCAGTTGTACCCATTGATCATAGGTAATGACCTCAGGTGGCAGATAGCTTGAATGAATTGTACTGCAAAACAAAACCATCAGAGTTCATCAGCAAAGCAGACAGTAAAAAAGGATTGTATAAATTTAAACTGAATGATTTAGAATACAAATTTGAATAGAACCTAGTGCGCTAGCCAGTAAATCAGAAACTTTAGCTTTATTATTGAAGTTTCTTTAAAGAAAGACTTTCTAATAATTGACTCAGGCATATATAAGGAAGTAGACCCACTTCTGAAGAAAAATTCAATGTTTCAATGATTTCATCAACTGAAGAGGCTTTGATGCACCAAAATGTAGATATCATTTGTTAATATATATAATGTTTTTTACGAAAGAAGAGATAATAATTAGAAAGAGAGAAAGCTATTGCAATGAAGATACAGAGTATAAGTAACGCATCCTGTAGAAAGGAACTGAAAGAACCTCAAGATAAAGCCACCAACTGAAACCCTTTACAAATAGATTTTTTTTTTTTTTTTTGAGATAAACACTATACAAATAGATAAAAGCACTCCTAGAGAAAAGGAAACATGAACCTTCACTCAAAGAGAAGCAAAAAGCATCTGCCACAAACAATGTGTACTAAATGAAACTGTTGCTTGAAAATTTTTAAATTCCACTCCAAGATAAGCTAATAACCTGATAACAAGAAAGGCCCTCTTCATGATACCTTATGCTCCTTTTTAATCTTGAAACCGTCCAAAGTATTAGGTATAAAAATATTCAAATTAGGAGGCCAAACCAAAGTTCTTCGAACGTTAAAGAAACGTAGAGCAAACCCTCCAAGCCACCTCAAACTAAAAGAAAAATGCGTATTATCTACATGAGGTCTACAAGCCTTTACCAAATCCTTAGTGTTAATCCTATTCAAAAACACAGTCCACACGGAAACTGTAACCTTAGAAAGTGCTTTCACCATGCAAAAGGAGTGAGAAAATGTCATTTTTAGATTTATAAAGAT